GTGCGGACCATTGTACCTCGTGATGACCCAAACATCGTGCCTTTGATTTTTCGACACTCTGATCTTCCACTTGCACTATGGGCCATATTTTACACACTTCGCGTATAGGGTTTTTTGGTTGGACTCTGCAACTGGACATCAACATGGCATTTGATGTAGTACTCTTTAATCGCCAGGGTAGCTTCATTTTTTCCTCTGAATTGCACCCCAACTGAAAATTCACCAGAATTATCGAATGATTCAGTCATTTGGTATGGAGGTAAATGTGGCATGTCTGCGAATTCAGGTGCCCTCATCGTATCATAGTCTATCTCGTACATGTGAGGAGTAGCTTCATACGGTACCGGAACTTCATCAATTGCACCTCCACCAAAAATATTTTCGTCGCCGCCCAAAACGGGTTCTTCGGTTTCTTCATCTTCGCTTGAATCATCATGAATTTCTCCCCATCGATTTTCAGCGTCAATATCAACAACCAATTCCGGTATGTTTCTCGTCTCATACTATGCTACTGCAGATGTCCCCCCGACTTCATTTACACTTTCCAATAGTGCCATAAAACTGTTCGGGAACATGTATGTCGACTCCTCAAACTGACTATATAAAGCCATTTCAGATGGATTTTGAGTCACACCTCTTGATGACCCAGAAACATCACATATGTTACGTACATCAACAAATAATTCAATAACTGCTATATTGGTTGACTCATGTAATTCAACCATGGTTCCAATATCATCATCTTCTTCAAGTGGAACTGCAGCATATCTGACTGGGTTGGGGCATATCATAAACCTATACCTCAAACCATCAACTGCAGCTCAAATTTTTCTTTCTATCTTATGCTTCATTTCTATAAATGTGATGTCTTTTTTTAACATCATATTTATTAGTTTTTCAGACTGAAAAACTACTCCGACCTCATTTTCCATAATCTATCCATTATAATGGACAATCGTGAAAAAGTTATTGCTCATTTTCTCTACAAATAAAAAAATAAATTAATTTAGATTAAAAAATTAGATAAGATAATTTCATAAATCATTAAATATAATATAATATAATATAATATAATATACTATTATATTAATGATCAAATAAAATTTATTATTTAATTTGATTGATTTATTACTAATATTACTAATAATGATTTAATAATTATTATTAATCTAATGATTTGATATTTAATGATTTAATAATAATATGATTTAGTCATGATTACTAATAATTATTTATTATAAATATTTAATGATTTATATTTGATACTAATCATTTAGTAATTATTACTAATAATAATGATTAGTTTGATAATATTTTTTATTTTATAAAAATATCAAACAAATTTGTTAGGCAGAGCTGTCGAGATAATGTTCTCGAAAGAATTATTTCGTGAGATAATGCGTTGATCGGATTATTTCATTCAATTAATTTTTACTCCTTACTAATTTACACATATAATATAAATTAAACAAAATATTTTTAAAACAACACTAAATATTTTTAAACACAATATTTTTTTAAACAGAAATTATCTCGCACAAATTATCTAATATAAACTTACTAACTAACTAATTTACACATACACAACAACTAAAAATGGACAACAAAAAATAATAAATTACCCGCGTATTTGTGCATTCTTCCTTTCCTTTCTTTTCCTTTCTTGTTCAAGTCTATGAATCAATCTGTACGTAGGCAAATGTTGTGGAATAATGTCCTGTATGTGTAAACAAAATATTTCTTTAAACAACAATAAATTAAACAAATTAATTTTATATAATCTAATATATTATAATATAACTTAAACTAGTAAACTATTTATTTATTATAATATAACTTAGTTAAAATAACAAACTAACAAACTAATTAAGCACTAATTAATTTTTTTTATAATATAACTTCAACAAACAACCTAATATATGTTTAAAGATACTAACAAATTAATTAATTTTTTTATATTTAATAACTTAAACTAAGAAACTAATTAACTAATTTTTTTATATAATATAATATATAACTTAAACTAACAAGCTAATATAATATAACTTAAACTAACAAACTAATTAACTAAATTTTAGTTTTACCCTAAACCCTATGCTAACAAACTAATAATTTCATATAATAAACTAAATTAAACAATAAAAAATTACTTCAAAAAAGAATGTTTGAGCCTTTATCTTCTTTTCTTCTTCTTCCTTTTCTTTCTCTCGATAAATTTTTTATATGTGTTGCTTCTGCTTTTACCCTAAACCCTAAACCCCCATATCCTCTATATAAAGAAAATGAGCGTTGGAGAGCGTCATTAAATTTGATTGTTGAAGCAAATAATATTGAGCATTGAATCGTGTAACTATTGAGCGTTGAAAGGCTGCTATTCAACAATAATATTTGCTGCATTTAGCAGCTAAATTAACGCTTATGAATGCAGGAATCTCCCAGCTATGGATGCAACGCATGCATGAGGGAACAGAGGGTTAAAGCTTGGCTACAATCTCCCAGCTATGGATGCAGGAATCTCCCAGCTATGGATGCAACGCATGCACGAGGGAGCAGGTTAAGTTTGGTCGCCAGCTTGGTCGCCGGGACTGCTTGGCGACCTACAAGGTTGCTGGGAGTGCATGGCGACCTGTGTTGGGGTGTTGGGGACGTGCATGGCGACCTGTGTTGGGTGTTGGGGACGTGCATGGCACATGCAGACGTCCATTATCTCTGTGCAGCTCGCCGAGAAGCCATGGCGACGTAGTAGGTTGCCCGGAAGGCATGGCAACCTACGGCCACACTATGGATTTCACCCTATTTCAGCAAATAATATGGGGAGTGCATTATCTCGTGAATTATTTATTTTGAAAGCATTATATCGTGAGTTTAACCAATAATGCATGTGCAAGTCCTAGATTTATCTCCCCTCTATTCTTGTTTTAACCATGATCCTAAATTCTTTATATATACAAATGTCATCAATTATCTGACCAATAAAAATAGACAATGACACTTTCAACTTATAGACTTGAAGCACAAAATATATAGGCATATATCTTAATGCAAGAATCGTCGATGTTTCGTAATAAACTAGTATCACTGAAAAATAAATAAATAAAGTTTTTGAGCATCAAAGAATAAATGACTTCCCTTCCACCTGTGTTAAACTAACCTATCAGAAATGTGCCAAATTACACAAAACGGAAACTAAACAAGTCGTGCTAGGCAATCACATAAAACCAAAGGCGCTTGTCTCCATGGTCATAAGAGTGGGTCATCATGGCCCTCCCATGGGTGTCGCCAACCCTAAGGGTGCGTTTGGTTCACAAAATGTAAGATTACTAGTGAGAATAATAGATTACCAGGGAATATGATTACTGAGAATGTTACATTACAGTGTTTGGTTGGTTTGACAGGAATGTAGGATTACAGTGTTTGGTTGAAGGAATAAAAGATTATTGGAATGTATATTTTACCAAATTGTCATTGTTCTATATTTTTTAACAAGTGAAATTCTAAATATTTAAATAAAAATTATTTATATAAAAATTTTATTTGTTGATAATATATTACTTGAGTATTTAAATATATCATGTATTATTTTAATTTTAATTAATATTAAATTTTACATAATTTATGTAAAAATATATTAAAAATTTACATCAACATTTAACTAAATGTTTACATTGTGAAAATTCTTCATAGATATTCATAATAATAAAAAGATGTAAATTATTTTTGTTATCTAAGATATAAATATTTATTATATCTTCTATATACAATAATTTATTTATTTATTTATCTTTTATATTTATATTTAATTATGCATACTTTATCATTATTATTTATCTCATGAATTTATATTACAAAAAATATAATTCAAATAAGTAAGAAAATATAACACTAAAAATCATATTGTCTATAATTTCATATTTCACAGTCATTCATCATTATCTTTGCTAATATTTTAATAAAATTATTAATACTCAGTTCTAATCTGATTTGTACTTAACTCTTGATTACGAAAAGCAAGCAACCTAATAATTCATGTTTCCTAACAGGTAATTTCTCTCCGAACATACAAAAACCGACAGAGACCAAACTTTGAACATACTAGACCGTTAATTTCTTTCAGATCATACACAAAGGACAAGTGAAATAGCTTACATGTATCTAAAGAGAATTCTAAAACAATTTTAAGTGGCTGGTAATTTGGCCATGTCCGAATTATTCTAAGATATCGGTCATGAGATTGCTAATTCGGCTATGTCCGAATTATTGTAAGCCTGTCTGAAATTTGACTTATTTCCAAATTATTTGGATTATTTGTAGGGTAAAAATGATGTCCTATTTAACAATAGAAGTTGTAGCGAAAACTAAATTTTTGAATTGACACTGTTGAGGACTAGTTTTTGGAGTAAACAACTAGATTTTTAAGCGTAAATAGTAAAAACGAAGATGATGTATAAAAATTTTGATACATAATTATTGGGGTAAATAAATTAAGTTTGAATGAATAGGATTTTATTTGTATTTGTTTATTTATTTTTATAAGTATTTATGTTTAATTTGTATTCATTTAATTTTTAATGTTGTATTTGTGATCGTTTATTTATTTTTGAAGGTATTTATGTTCACTTATTTTTTTAAAGTGTTAGTGTTCGTTCGTATAGTGCTTACGAATATATTCATTTAATGTTCGTTTATATGTTCACGAACTTATTCATTTGGTAAAATTATGTTACTAGTAAGAACTTTTCGAGCTTCATATTTTAACCTCTAAATTTCATCATGTGTTCAATTTAAGTTCATCACGTGTTCAATTTATTTCCTACATCTTGGTCAATTTGAATGGCACAGAAGCATCAATGCGGTCCGGCAAAATATCACAGTAGGAACACAATGGAAACTGGAATGACTGTTGTTTTCAGATCCATATTGGAGATGTAGAGTCTGAAAAGTTGCAAGTTGCAAGATTCTTTTAAACCTCAAATCATATTTCGGGCATGCTTTGTGAAAGGAAAAAAGGAAAGACTACCAGATGTGTTCTTGTTTAAGTATGGTGTTGCATATTACCTTATTCCTTTCTGAAAAGTACAGCAGTTATTCTAATAAATGGTTATGGAAGTCAGAGAAAACATAGAAGAATCCATCATTAAATATAGGACAAATGCCATAAGAATTGTTTGTTAGCATTGTGCCATAAGTACAAACAAATTAAGAAATGGGTTCGACCAAACAGTACTGAAAACTTACCTTACGATCGAGGTATTAATAACTTACCTGCAGTTCAAGGTAAAAGTCACTTAGCGCAAGGAGTTGAATCAATAAAACTCAAAATAATATAAAACCAAGAAGTATTAATAACTTACCTTACGCTGAACAGAAGCCACTTTGCAAAGTATTTTAGATGGTAGATTGAATGAAGGTATTTGGTGTTGTGACCCCCTGATGCATTGATGCCTCAAGCTGTACACAAAGAATAAAAAAATACTCGAGATTAATAAACCAAACATTGTGTCAAGTTATAAAACCAACACCTAAAACTTAATATCATAAGGGACATAAGTCTTCAATAGATACTATAGAGGATAGAGTTTTATTAGCAAAACTAAATAACAAATGCCTTTTAAATAATCTTCGAAATATTTAACAAACACTACCTTGACAGTAAATATTCAGACACGGAGACGTATATAAATATTCTTGTAAATACATACATGAAGGAAATTATATATTGCCATAAACATTTTGTAATTCATTGTATCAGTGAATTGATACCAATACTCAAATATATATGACAATATAAGTTAATAAGGTTTCATGACACAACATACAACCTTCAAATTATTGATTGCCTAAAGTGATTCACCAAAATGAATCGTACCCATTTTGTTTTAAAGAAAGCATGACCCAATATAAATACCAGATGATTTCTTCTGCATAAAAAACCAAAAAGGAAAGAACCAAGTGCTTGCAGGAACCATAACCGTATTAACCAATATAGAACCATTATTACTCAAAATAAGAACACTATGGCAAAGGTTCACAAACCAATTCAACCAACACTTGTTAAATTATGAAATATGATCAATACAAAAAAGTTATCAGATTAAAGTTCATGTAGACATACTTGTTCCATGTGACCTTGTGGGAAATAATAAGCACGCTCCCCTACGCGAGGAAGCGTGACAAGAGGTCCAGCACAGGCATGCCATAGTTCACGATACAAAGGATAATCTGCAGTCACATAAAATGTAAGACAGAGAAGACAATAATGATAAACGATAAACCACCGCCGTGCAGAAACAAACCAGTACATTTGCGAAACAAGAATTCAACTTGCATATTAAAACACAGTAAAATTTGTATACCATATAAAATTCACAAACCTGGTTGTCGTTCGGCAGATGAAATATCCGGTGCCGCAAAAGCCATAGAAGCACCCCCAAAAGAGACCAGCAGAAAGCAATCAATCAATGGAAACCCTACAACACTGGATTTATGGAAGCAAACAAGCAAATATAAATTTCCCCATTACAACAAATAGCACAACTATTAATTAAGATTGCATTTATTATTACTTTATTGTTTGTTCTGATTATCCTACAAAGGCAAAGCTGACTGATGGAAACCCTTCGTTACCAGTTAATTGCTACCTCTGTGTCAATCTACTCTGCTCTGTGTCAATCTACTCTGCTCTGTGCTATGAACCCAAATGTTAATAATTCTGCAACAACGAAATGGAAGATTTATAATGAAAAATGAGAAGAAGCCCAATAATTCTGCAATGATCCAATTCTTTTGTTTACAATAAAAATAAATAAATTCAACAACTCTGAAGAAAATCAAAACTGATATGAAAATGGGATTGACACCCAACGAGTTTGCAATTACATATAGTATATGACACGAATAGAATTGAATGAAAATCAGAAACTAAAATGAGTTGAGATCTGATAAAATGGTCTATTTTTTCCGATAAAAAGAAGAGTGAATAGAACTAATTGTTTACCAGTAAGAAAAATCATCCGTCAACAAGTGCAGCTAAAACTACCTAGATTTTCCAAAATTCAAACACAAACACTATAAGCGGTGGACTTCAACTGCTATTACCAGAAAAATCATTCTATGAGCAAACCTTGTATGACGAAAGCAGCTAACAACTACACTACCCTACCCACTGATGCAGATTTCAATCCAAGAGCTGGGAATTTCAATACTAAAACTTAAGATTCGTTTGCAACCAAAAAAAAATAGATTACTTGAAAATTTTAATTTTATTAACTGTTATTTAAAGCCCAAAAATCAAATTAAAAAAACATGGATTCAACAGGAATCCAAAAAAACACAAACGCCCAAACCAAAAAGGAATAAAGATAAGCAAAGGTTGAAGGAAAAGGAGTAACCTGAAAGCAGATTAAGTGAGTAAGAAGAGCAAAGGGTAAATTTTTTATCGAGAATCGGATACTCCTCCAATCTGTATCATGGAGTTCAAGAACAAAGAACGCTTGGGAGAAGAAAATATGACAGAGGCAAACGGAAAAAGAGGGTATTTTAGCCCCTTAGCACACGAGAATACAAGAATACTTAAGAAAAGCAAGGGATTAACATTCCCGGTAAAAAGAGAAAATTTTTTACTGTTTGGAATATATTATTACTCTCTATTGGGAATATTTCCCAACCAAACATGGGAATTTGAATCTGGAAAAAAAAAATTCCCACTAAAAATCTTGAATTCCATGATCAAATCACCCCTAAGAGTTGAGAGACAATGTCAGCCTAAGAATGAAATGAAGTTACAACGAATAAGGCGGATTACGAAGACAGCTGAAAAGAGGAATTTCTTACCAACACTACAGGACCATCTAAAGGACCCAAAACCTGAAACACCAGAATTTGAGAAACTTCAGAAAATCTTATTTATTATTATTATTATTATCATCTAGAGATCCGTAGCATCACACAACAAAAATAAATATTCGAATGAAAATCACAACTGCCATGGACCATGATCCCTAATGAAAAGTTTGCAGCCTAACCCGGAAAAACAAGAGAAATCTAAGACATAAAACCCTCTGAAAATCAAGTTAATTCGATCCAAATTCAAGCCTTTACTTTAGAAGTTGATTCTTCCCTCTCAAGGCATATCCTTCTTCTTTAGCTGTGCTAATATAAATTGCACCCAATTCGTCAATGACTAGCTCAACAGATTTCGTTCAATAAAGCATATCTAAAAAAAGCAAAATTGACGGATTGGGGATTATATACTTAGGCTTGTTTTATTTGACAAGGCAGATTTAAAACTACAGATTGATGAAAAAAATGACAAATGAAGATTCAGATTGAGTCAAACTAAAAGGGAAGGAGGGAATAGAAGAAGGGATTGCCACATGACAGCGCACAAGCCTTTTCCGGTGACGGCATGCCATCTCTTAGGGTGATGCAAAGTTACACCTTTGTAAGTTGTGCTTCCTCCATGGCCACCTCCCATCTCTCTGTATGTTGACCAAACCCTAAACCACCAGAAATGGTCTCAAATTCTCAATTGTTCGAAGCTGAAATTGTGGCTTTCGACTCAAACTCGGCGGAGTTGATCACTAGATTCCCCGTACCTTTGATTTGAACGATCCCAACTGTTGGATGGGAAATTCAACAATGAATCCACAATTGAAGGCCTGATTCTGATATGTGCTGGACCGGATAATGAGCTCATTTCTGACATTCGACTTTTGGGTGTCTATTCTTACGTATGAGAGATACTGAAACCCAAGCCCAAAAGCAATTACTTCAGGCCGTACGCACATATATATAATATATATTGTGGTTCAGAACGTATTGGCAGAGTTATTCCAGAGCCTGTTTCTAATTTTGATTCAGAAAAAAAAATGCTGACCACTTTCTTCTTTTGACTGCCACTGCAGGCCGTGCTTATTCCCATGATCAGCTCGAAGAAGGCTATTTGACAGACACCAATTTTTTCTAATATCCCCTTTCTGACACCGTTTGATTAATATTTTTCGAAGTAGCATCCTTTCTGTTGAGCTAGCGAAAGGTGCGTCTCCGGGGACGCGCTTTACCCGTATTTTCGCTGAGTTGGATGTCACGTGCGGAAGGCGCATCCTCAGGGACGCGTCTTTCGCCAGCTCGACTGCCACGTATTTTGTTTAATAATAAATATTTTATTTTTATTATTATTATAAATTAATAATATATTATGTAAAGTGTTTCGATTATAATGTAAGAATTATCAAATGTATTTTGTTAATGTGTGTTAAAAGTGGAGTGAATTATCTACATTAATATGATATAACAATATATGAAAACCAGTTTTGACTTTATTGTAGTTATAGGAAAAATGTATGAAATTATAATATTACACATATGGTTATATTATTATTTTTTATTTTGATTATCGATCTATTAATTTTATCAGTTAATTATTTAAATGTTATCAATCTAGTCATCTCATATCAATATTTAACGAAAATATTGATGCATAAGTTAATAAATTAGTATAATTACATATTTAATCTTCAAGACTTACATATTTTATGAAATGTGTCATCGTATACATAAATTTTTTAATAACTTTTAATTTGTTTAATTTAATATTTTTCTCTACTTAGAAGGTGGAATTATTATTATATTTAAAAAAATATAACTAATAATATTAATTATTATATTAAATAAATATATTAAAAATATTTATGTATTTAAAAGTTAAAAAAAAATTATTTAGGTGTACATACATTGACAAATTATATAAATGCAATAACATTAAATTATTAGAAACAGAAACATTCATTTAAATACAATATTAATTACATAAGAGTTAACGGTTATATGATGATAACAGAGCTGGACATTTTTTTCTATTGTGCCCGATGTTTCTACAATGCCCACATCGTTTTTGTTCTGTTGACTTCTCCCGAATATCCATATCACAATGTATTCTAGTAGATTTTGGACAACCTGAGTCCCTCAATAGCAATGGATCTGGTACAATTGTAAGCCAAGTTTGAATCTCATTTGAGTCTCTTTCGTTTCCTATGGGCGGAAACTCAAATTCATATACCTTGAATACTTGTGAAAGTTGGTATACGGGATCAACATAATTTTTGTAGTCCAAATGCGAATGTGAGCAAGCATCAATGACATGAGAGCATGGATATTTGAGTGCTTGAAAGAAACCACAATCGCACCACCTCTCTTGCAGATTAACTCTGAAAGAGTTAGCTCCAATCCCTTGTAGCGGACGTGGCATTTCGGTTACACGAAACAATTCACGGGTGTGAGAAAAATTTGTAACTAACATCCCATTTGATGCAGCCACTTTTTTCTGTAAATCAACTACTAGTCTTGGGTGGTAAATATGTCCGTTTTGCATCCAAGTAAGAGCTTGTCCACTGAGCTTTGCAAAGAGTTGACCCAAACGAAAATAAGTCGTTTTAACCAACGCCGTGACTGGTAAATGACGCGCCCCCTTTAAGGTTGAATTTATTGCTTCAACCAAGTTTGTTGTCATATGACCATAACGATACCCCCCGTCATATGCATTTGTCCACATTTCTTTGCTGATGTCCATAATGTACTCGCACCCCTTCTTATTTTTGCCAAACAGCTCTTGTAGCATCGACTCAAACCTTTGAGGTAAGAGTTCGTAACCTAAGCCATTAGGAATATGTAATAGTTAATATGAAGTATAAATAAGTAATAAGAAATTGATAGAAAAATTGGGAAAAAGTAACATACCCATCCGCACGACTAACTGACGTTCATCGTTCTTCTTGTATTTTCCGTAATAGTTTGCAGCAATATGACGGACACAATAACGATGTTGAACATGTGGAGGTATATACATTGTACCCAAAGAGTCCATGGCTGCTTTTATCCCGGCTCCTCGGTCTGAAATAATGCATACTCGTTCCCTGGTGACAACATGTAAACGTAAATTTTTAAGGAAAAAAGCCCAAGACTCAGTGTCTTCTCCTTGAACGAGGGCAAACGCAACAGGAAGAATATTGCGGTTTCCATCTTAGACCACAGCCAATAATAAAACTTGCTTTTATTTCCCATACAAGAAAGTACCATCAATTTGGACAACTGGTTTACAATACTTGACTGCATTAATACACTGAGGGTAAGTCCAAAAGACACGGTAAAATTGGCAGCGATCGCGAACCATTCGATCATTCACGTAATGATGTTGAGTTTCGAACTCAACAATTGTCCCGGGATTAAGTCTTTGCACAACATGAAACCAACTGGGCAGCTCGTTGTAAGAGGAATCCCATTCGCCATGAAGTTTGTAAATGGCATTCTGTTTTGCCAACCACACTTTTTTATATGAGACAGTGTACCCATATTGTGACTGTATAGCAGAAATCAACACTGCAACAGCTATATGAGAGTTTTGCTTCACAATGGGCATGATTGCTTGACAAATAATGTTGGAGTCCAAGTTGGGATGATCCTGGTTTATACCTGTTGCACAACATGTATGAGGACCATTGTATCTGGTTAGTTCCCATAAGTTGTTCTTCCTCTTCCTCTTTGATACACGGACCATCCATTGACGTCCGTTGTCACGTTGGACGCAGTAGCAGACATATTTCTCCGTGTTAGATCGATCAACTCGGGACTTAACTGAGTTACGAATATTGTAACTCTTTATTGCATCATTGCTTCCTCCTTCGATGCGAACTCCATTCCAATATGTAAATTACCGTCATTGACTAATGATTGAAGTCCATAGTTGCCAACATCAGGAAGATCTGGAAATTCAGGCTCATACATTGCATCATAATCAGCCTCATACATATGTGCAGGAAGTTCGGCTGGTGTTGTATTTATCGGAACGTCATCCTCGTCATCATCAGAATGTACGTTAAACTGTGGTGAGTCAGGTTCAACGAATAATCCCGTTTCAACACCATCTGCACCTGGCTCCCGAAGAGGTTCTTCTGGTGGAGATGAGGGTTCCTCCGATAATCCAATGTTGAGGTCAAATAAGTTCCCGCTTGTGTGTCCTCCCCTTGAACTTGAGGCCATTGTATCATGTGGGATGTGAATAGACTGTCGTCTTGTTGGCATTTCCATATGTAAGTCGAAAACATTGGCAGATGAATGTCTGCCCCTTGAAGTAGAAGAGATGTTGCCATATGGATTATTGGTGAAGCCACGTGGGTTGAGATCATAAGCAGTTGCAGATGAATGCCTTCCTATTGAACTTGATGGCATGGTATCTGGTGTTGGATCCGCCATTAATGATGTGAAATCATTACAGATCAGTTGTGTCGGGCTATCAACTTGATCATTTTGATATGCAATGCCAAAGTTAGAGGAATATGAGAGACCACGAGTTGCACAAACCTCAATAAAAGTGGCATACATTTCAATAAGAGATTGTGAACTCCCCATATGAGCATCAATCATCATAGAAACATCATCATCGTTTGAAAGCTGAAATGATGTATACGTGAGCGGAAAAAGTTCAGTAGGAAATCTGTACTGAAGTGAAGATAGTCTTCTCTAGCCTGCTACACGAATCTTTAACGAAATTTTTGTGATTAACTCCTCAATTGTGATGTTTCTCTTCAAGGTTAAGGGGATATAATGATTTGACTCAAAAACAACCCTCTCTTCAGCTTCCTTAATTTCTCCATCATACAAAACAACAACAGAAAGATGACTCATTTTCAGAGAATATGGCAAAATGCGTTCCGGTGTCGGTATATGTGGATTTTTAATAAAAGTCTCTAAAATACGATCAGTATCCTAAATAATATACATTATAAAAAATAAAAATTAATATAAATTCATAATAACTTTAAAATAAAAATAAATTTAAATATTAACATTAATTATAAAAAATATTACCATATCGCTAAAATGTCTGGAGATATGATCAATATCCAATCGCAACAGCATTTCGTTTTCCATTATAACTGTAGACAAAACAATATAATTAGCAAAAAAATTAATAATTCTAAATAAATAATAATTATATAAATATTATTTTAATAAAAAAATATTTACATAAATATATTAATATAAAATATAATAACTATTTAAAAAATACTAACATAAAAATAAATTTCTTACCACTAATAACAAATTTAAAACTCAAATAGTTGGAGAATTTGAGTTATATAAGAGAGGAGAATATGATTTTGGTGTGAAGAATGAGGGAGGGTTGAGGGGGTTTATATAGGGGAGGAGGGGGTAGTTAGGGAAAACGGATGGGGGCATTTATGGCATTTAATGGAAGGCGCGTCCCCGGGGATACGCTTTCCACACGTGGTAGTCAAGTCAGTGAAGGCGCGTCCCCGGGGATGCGCCTTCCACACGTGGCATCCAACTCAGCGAAAACACGGGTAAAGCGCGTCCCCGGGGACGCGCCTTTCGTCAGCTCAGCAGAAAGGGTGCTACTTCGGGAAATATTGGTCAAACGGTGTCAGAAAGGGGATATTAGAGAA